ACATTAAACGAATACTTTTGAAAAAGTCTGAACAATACAGTTATGTGATTTAATTTCTTCGATAATTAAATTATAATAATTTTTTTATTATTTTACAGTATTTTATTAAATATTCAAGTAAATATTGCTAATAAATAATTAATTATTCTCTGAAATTATTTATTTGGAAAAAAAATATTGTTTATAATTAATGAACAATTGGTAACATATATAATATTTTCATTTCGATCACAATTTTATAAATTACAAGGAAATTTTGTAAAATCTCTATTGGGAAATCACTATATAGGATGGTATAATAGCCATAAGAATTATTTGTGTTCGCGATAATTTTAAGTAACGATTAAGTTAACCTTGTAACAATCGACGTGAATATTTAGTTCAACAACCCCATTACTTAGCAATTTAACTTAATTTAAAATATATTTTAAGATACTTAAAAAATTAAGCATGAGAATAAATATCACATTTAGAGTTAGAATTAGATTTAGAAAAATCGCACAGAAATATCTTGAAAAGTCATAAGATTTTATGAAATATTTTAAAATTCATCTTGTATTACTTCACATTATTCATTTACCAAAACAGAAATTTAATTACTATGAAAATATACAATATTGAAAATGAGAGTAGTTTAATAAAAAAGTGATATGGTAAAAAATAATACATGAATTAAAATAACTATTCCTTGCACGTTCGACCTGATAGAGAAAGCTGACTATAATAATAAAATTATAGTTGCCACGGCTTTAACAGAGTTTCAGAAAGGCAACATATATGTCCAAAGAATATAAATTATTTTATAACTCCTGAAAAATGTATAATTAAATAAGATAACTGTTGAATCTATAAAAATCTGAGTGAAATTCTTTCTATAATTTTGCTTAAAATAGAGTTTTATTTTAAATAGCGGACTTAATAGACGTAAATACTTAAAAAAAAAAAAAAAAATCTCAAAATAGTTAAGATAAATGCTTCAGAGTAAGTATATAATAAAATTATTAAGATTCAACACATAAATTGAGATGAAATCCCAAACTTACATTCTTCGGAGTGTAAAATGATATTCCTGCACGTAATACGTTTACAATAGTGATTAATAATATTAAATGAATGCTTATTTCTGGCTTTATTAAATTAAATGCACATATAATATTATTCATGAATATTAATTTAATATTTAATTAAGATATTAATCAGCCACTAAGTGATTACAGAAAACTGCATAACAGGGCATATAAATAGAAATGTAGCATATTCAAAGGCCGCAGGAACATGACCACATATCATGGCAAACTAATGCATCTAGAAGATATTTATACTGATAAAAAACTTTTATTGTTATATGAAATTTTTAACACAATCATTTAGTCAATTATACATATAAATACTCTGATGAATTGAATGTTTCCTTTTTTTTTAAACGTCAGATTAATTTAAATTAACCCTTTAATATTAAAGTATACTATAATTAAACTGAACCTAACACATTGATACAATAAATATTTTATAATATTATATGTTTTTTAATTCTTTTAAATTGATTAATTTAAATAACTAATAATTCAATATCACGAGCCATACAAAAAATAATTTAAGACAAATTGAGTAATAATGTAAGAATCGACATTCTGTGACGATTTTTCCAAAATCATTAATAATTAATAATTGTAATATAATATTACTTCGAAAATTCTAATACATTATAAAAAATATTTTTCTTTGTAATAAAATGATTTATCGAACATTAAAAAAAATGAAACTTAATAAAACTTGTTTGAATTTCTATTTATATATATATATATATATATATATATATATATATGGGGGAGGGGTACATGATTTAATGTTATTATGATTTAATTTATAAAATTTACTTCCACAGTTAAACTTCTAAATGTAAATATAACTCAACAGTTATAAATTACAAAAGTTTGTAAGAAATTTATAAACCTAAACAACAATTATATAATATTTTTATTTTTTAGAAAATAAAAAAAATTATTAAAAACACTACATTATTATCTATATCATTGTATATTATACCTTAAAATAAGAAAATTATATAAAATAATATCGTAATAATTTTAAAACTTTTAAAAATAAATTTGACAAACTTAAAATCTTACTATTAGCATCTATGAAAAATCAACCATAAAAATATTTTATTTATATTTTATTTCAAAAGTTATTATAGAAATACCAATTATTTTTAAATATTATAATTTCAACAAATTAATGGCGGGATTACTGAAAAATGCTGAAAAATCATGAGTTTAATTTTTCGATAATAATATACCAATCTTATCAATATAATGAATTTGAATAAGATTATTTGTTATTGTATAGTCTGGTGAAAAATGGTCAAGAAACATTGAATTTATAATTTTGAAGATTAATACATTTTACATGACAAGTCTTTTCCAAATACAAGAGTTTATATAAAAGTAAAAAGTAACCATTCAAACTGACACATACAATCGAGAATGAAAACTTTAATTCAAGAAAGAATAATAATTTAGGTAAATAATCCTTCACCAATTTCTACTTTAAATATAGTATTTACATGCTAAAAATTTTTTTATTCTTATTGATTGTTCCAAGTATTACTAAAGTATAATATTTATCTATAAGACTTTCATAGTACATCATGTAGTAAAAAATGATATTTGTTAATTTGTAATTACCAATTTTTTCTTTAATAGGTATGTAATTTATATAAATAATATACTCATTAATTTCAGTTTAAATTAAAAAGTATAATAACATGAAGAAAAGAATTTATACAAAATTATTATCAAAATTTTCGTACGTATATGCAATACTCTCGATGGTTATATATTATTATTATAAAAATTCTCAATATCTCATAAATCGTAAAATTTTTATAATATTCTTCATATATATATATCATTTGTTTGTCCGCTGAAATGTTTATGTTAAGTGTCAATATTTACAATTCATAATATATTGTATGAAATATATTATATATTGTATAAGATGTTGTGTGTGTGCGCGCCCGCGCGTGCGTGTACACATAATTTTAAACACAATTCTTCAAAATACAATATCCTATCGCTTCAAAATTTGTATTAACGTGTCGAATGGAAATTAAACTTCATACGCTCTCGATTGTTAATTGAAATTAAAAATTTAGAAAAAATAATAAATGAAGTTTTTTCATTACAATTCCTTTCATCCTCCTGTTAAATACTTTTCAATTTAAGCTAAAATTCACTCAATGTTTATTAAACTACTTTTTATGAATACTACTTTTTTCAATTTAATAATATTTTTAATAAAATTGTTGTTCTTCACTGAAATGAGTGCGAATAAAATATAATGAGGAATAAGTTATTTCCGTAGTAATTTAATTCCATACATATAGATACGGTAATCTTCAGGTAGATATTAGAACGCTCTGGGTTCTTTAAACGGAAAATTCTTAAATTATATTAAATTATAAAATACTTCCCATCTGCTTTTAATGTTGTTTCTTTTCATAAATAAAAGTACAATTATTAGTTAACGTAGACAAGTAAGCAATGCATTGTTCGTATAAATATCTTTTATTGAGATTCATATAAATGTGCATTGTTTCCAACGGATATTTCAATGTAAGATTTATATATATATATTTTTTTTTTTTCTCAAAGAACTAAGATATACGAAGTCTGTAATGAATTATAAAAATTCCGATCGACACTTGTAAGCAATTTATTCTCCGTGAGAAATTGTAAGAGATCACTCGGATTAAACAACAAGGATGGATTAAGTGCTTTGCTATAGAATAAAATCGATTGTAAATAAAATGTCTATAAATTTATGATCTGGCAATGCTCGTCATCATTTCCTTATTAAGTACGCGCAACCAAAAAGAATGAAATAATGATGCTTCGCAGCCGCTCCTTACGGTTAAAATATAATCCCGAAGCTCATCGGTGTAGGCAGTGCTACACCCTGAGACGAGGCTAGACGATACGAGCCAGCTGCATATTAAAATAAAGTTAGTAAATCCGACGTCTTGACGGGTGGTTAAGCATGGTTGCGCAGGTATTGTAATTGGCAGAAAGAGGAGAAATGATAGGACGAAACGAAGATGCTCGTCCACAGTGGTATTAGGGCCGAAGAGGTGTCCTCCGCTGGGAAATGAGTGCGGGGAATGATGAGGGTCGCAAGGGCGAGGGTGGTAGTGGTGGCAGTGAAAATGATGATGATGATGATGATGATGATGATGATGATGATGATGATGATGATGATGATGATGATGATGATGATGATGATGATGATGATGATGATGATGATGATGATGATGATGATGATGATGATGATGATGATGATGATGATGATGATGATGATGATGATGATGATGATGATGATGATGATGATGATGATGATGATGATGATGATGATGATGATGATGATGATGATGATGATGATGATGATGATGATGATGATGATGATGATGATGATGATGATGATGATGATGATGATGATGATGATGATGATGATGATGATGATGATGATGATGATGATGATGATGATGATGATGATGATGATGATGATGATGATGATGATGATGATGATGATGATGATGATGATGATGATGATGATGATGATGATGATGATGATGATGATGATGATGATGATGATGATGATGATGATGATGATGATGATGATGATGATGATGATGATGATGATGATGATGATGATGATGATGATGATGATGATGATGATGATGATGATGATGATGATGATGGTGGTGGTGGTGGTGGTGGTGATGATGATGGTAATGGTGATTGGTGATTGGTGATTGGTGATTGGTGATTGGTGATTGGTGATTGGTGATGGCGATGGTGATGGTGATGGTGATGGTGGTGGTGACGGTGATGGTGGCGGGGGTGGTGGGGATGGTGGTGGTGGTGGCCCAGCGATGACGAATGAGAAAAGCCAGGAGGATGAGACAGTTAAGCGAGGCTCCTAGTCAAAAGTTCACTCACCGTCGGGATTGTGAAAGTAGGCCCAGGTGGGGGTCCCCGTAGCCGCGGACTGGAGGACGCAGGCCAGCACTCCGAGGCAGAGGGCCCACATAGCGCAGCGAGCCGCGAGAGCGCGCCTCTCGCCGCGACCGGGATCGACATCGACGAAGCCGACGACCCCGCGGACGCTTTGTGAACGGCCGCCCGTGTCGGCCATCCTTCATGCCCGCGCGCTTCCGCTCGGGGACTCGCGTCCTTGGGCCCTCCCTTTCCTTCCTTCCTCTGCTCTCGGCTTCGCGGGCCCTCCGCGGTCTTTCATAGATGCGCCGCTACGCTCGCGGGCAGCTCCGCGCCGCCGCTCGGACGATGCATCTCCGATAAGTCGACTCTCCTCGGGTAGTGCGCGCTCGCGGCCCCATGTCACGTGACCGGGCCTCCGGCGCCTCGTCGGCACGGCGATGCCTCCCCCAACCGACGAGGGCAGCTTCGACTCCGGGGACCTTTCCGACTTCGGCGCGACCGGCCCACAGTTTCGCTAATGACCGCTTTATAATGTTACATCGACAGCGATCCCTTAAAAAGCTCCAGCAAAACCTAGAGATAGAAAATAAAGGGCGTGATTTAGATGTTCATTGATGATGTTTCGCGAAACTCTATCGGCCAATCTATCACTCGAGCACGTACACTCGACACATAAATTCCCCCTTTCGTTCCCCATGTATCCCCATTCCGCCCGCCCGCCCGCCCGCGCTTGAGCTCGCTCAATCTCTCTCTCTCTCTCTCTCTCTCTCTCTCTCGCTCTCTCTCTCTCTCTCCCTAACGCGCGCCCGCGCCCGCGCACCCACAAACACGAGCGAACTTCTCCTTTCTCTCTTTCTCTCGCGCGTAGTATCGTAGTAGTTTAATGTATAGAAAAAAAAAGAGAGAAGAATATATGTTGGTCAGCAAAACCGGTTCTTACGATACGAAGAGACACACTGCTAAAAATACATGAAGAGAACTAGCTTCGCAGTCTTCCTTTCTTATTTTTCTTCTCGGTCACGATACTCTGTATGTATATCTGTTCCTCTATCTTCTTTGTTTTACTTCACGTCACTATAACTTTTTCTTTTTCATTTCTTTAGCCATTATACATTACCATTACCTCAATGTACACTTTATGATACTTGACGTTTTCATGTCTCCCTAAACTCTGAAAATTAAATTGTCGCCATTCGTACACGAATCCTTTTTAGTAAACAAAATAAAAATCCTATACGAGCAAATAAATCTGCGTACGCTAAAAGTAAAATCTAATAACAATTAATTGAAATTTTTGTGTATTTTTAATAATAATAAATCGTAACAAAAAGCAATAAAATTTACTGAAACAAGCTTCTTTCTTTCTTTTTATTTTTTTTTCTTTTTATTTTCTTTTTCTTTTTTTTTTTAATGACGCATTTTATAATAACAACAACACAAAAATTGAAGACCGAAAAGTGCTTATTCAACCATTTTTGTCTTACCTTAAAAATTATGCAATATTTTTCTACATAAATATCAAAGTGTGATGAAATATTTTACGCATTGATGGCTATCAAATAATGATGTATATTTTCATTTTTATTTTAAGTACAAAAACGGTTATAACTAATAAATAAAATCCACGATACTTTATATACTAACCATTGTTATACTTTTAGAAAGTATTCTCTAATTTTTAATTAAGAGCGCATTTTCAACAGCACGTATATTTGAGTAAAAAATTGGCATTATACCGAAATTATCTCACTTCCTGTAAATAAGATTCAAGGTTCCATTAATAACACTATTTACTAATTTGAAAGCTTAAACTGGGTAACCGAGTACATTTCAAAATGAATAAAATCAATCTATTACGAAATTATATAGTGTCCTTTACTTTTCTAATTATTGGCATTAAGATATTTTATTACATCTCGTATTAAAATAAGCATACAAATGTCTTGGAATATAAAGTAGATTTCTTAATATCATTAATTCCCTCAGGTATTATGATTCATGTACCCATTTTACGTCTATTTTGGAAAGAATTTTCAGTTATTTATACTTATACGAAAAAAGGCAATGTAGAAATACTACAAGCAACCTTGACCAGCCTATTCTACTCACAGATAGTAATAAATTATATGCATTATATTAGTTTGTCCATTAGGGAGGGGGGGGGGGACAAAAACAAAAAACAAAAAAAAACAATAAACTATATATTTAAGTCAATTGAAGTGTATTTATCATAACCTTCATAATAACAATCAATTAATGTAAGGCTTTTTACGGTACAAACTATGTACAAACACGATTACGGTAATATATTTATGTAATATGTATTATTACGTAAGTAGCTAATTATAAACGTCATTGAGAATTCATAAAAAAAAAAAAAGAAAGAAAGAAAAAAGAAATCATTGGCACTCGAGTATTTATAAAATTTCTATGCGTACCGCCAATTTCAGGAAAGCTTTGATTTTGTAATTACGAATTAAAAAGCATACGAATGTTAAAAAATAAATGTTTAATGTTTGCATATTTCACAAACATTATCAGCAGTTAGTTGCTAATGTAATTGTGTCGTTTTTCATAACACAAGTACGTGTTATATTTTAAAAATAAAACCCCTTTTACATCTTCGTTAAGTAGTTTAAGAAATAACTGTAACAATAAGATATTATAAGCCTTTTGCGTATATTAAAGTTATATAATACAAACGATTATATTGATAGAGTCAAATTTTGTAAACTGTCACCTCTAATTAATAAGACAATTATTTGATAATAATATACATTGAAAAGAAAAAAACTAATACAAATACACGAAGCAAATGTATCATTCTCGAATAAAAAGATTTTTTTATTAATTTTATAATTAAATAATACAAGCAGTCGTCCATCTGCAATGCAGTCACACGACAGCTGAATAACAAAAGAAAAAGAGAAGTAGAAAAACGTCTTTCTCCATTACAGTGTAGGTTAATCTACATAAAACACGTTCGTCTCTTTTTTTGCACGAAGGCTAAAGAGGAGCGGAGCTCAGGTAGTCGGTCGCCTCGCTCTCGGTACCGATTCCGGAAGTCAAAAGTCATCGCCCTGGTCGCAAAGCATCCTGCAACCGTCCCTCCCTCCTCCCTCCTCCCGCCATCGCGCCTCACCCCATTGTTATCGATTCTCACTCTACCACCTGAGCGACTAACCGCGTAAACTGCACCTCGATAAACGTGTATACTCGAGTATCGATCGAGCGGCTTCCTAACCTCAACAGCCTCCCACAGCCAACGCGGCGCTTGCTTGGCTTAGCAAGAAAAGAAAAATGTGGCATTTCGTAATAACGACTGAAATCGCGTATTATACCTGCGTCGTTTTACCTAGCGGACATTTGTACGCTTACGTACGTGCGTACGCAATCGTAACTGCTCGACACATATAATGCACAGCTGCGCGCGTGAGCGAGCGAGCGCGCGCGAGTATGAGTGCATCCTACTTGTGCGCATGGAAACGCGTGCGTTTCTATGTGTCCAGGTTGTATGGAGCGAGAAACACATATCGCGCGATACCAGTCGGTTGCACCTCCATTTTCTGGCGCAACCACTGCCTGACTCTCCTGGTTCCTCTTTGCCGCTTATCAGCTGCTGCCGCAACTTTTCCAAATACAACTACTCTCTCTCTCTCTCTCTCTCTCTCTCTCTCTCTCTCTCTCTCTCTCTCTCTCTATCTATCTATCTATCTATCTATCTCTCTGTCTCCCTCACCCTCCCCCTCGACCCCTTGATCGGGTTCCCGCAAACCGCGCACCATTCTCCTCCCTTTCTTTTTCACCTTCGTTTTCTTCGCATCCGAAGAGCGCCGAGCTCGCGCGTACCTACATAGGACTGATATATCGATTACGTTCTGGCGAAGGTAGTAGCGGTAACCACGACACTTTCGAAACTCGCGCTCACTTTCGAAAATTCCTGGGCTCTCGAACGAGGCGAGGATAGGCTGCGCTTCCCCAGGAGCGGATCGACGACGGGTGAAGACCGGCGGAGTCGGGAGGAGTCGCGGGGTGACGGGAGCCGGGAAGCGGGACCGGGTACACTCGCGAGTTGTTTGTACCTGCGTAGACGGGGTGGCGCGAGGAAGAAGTCGCGGTCGCTCCTCAACGAAGGTGAGAGATGCGCGTGGCCGTCTCAACGAGCCTGCGCGTTGCGTTGCACTGAGGAGCGTCTCTCGCGGAGTCGCGGCCCTCGGCTTCGCGGTATCCCGGCCGCTCGCGCATGTGTGTGAATGTGTGCCGGCCTGAGGAGAGCGCGAAGGAGGGAGAGCGAAGGAAGTAGGAGAGAACGGCGCCGCTTCGTTTCGCTTACCACACTAGCCCCAACGTGCCTTTCAATCTCCTCTCTCCCCACCCCGGTCCGTCGCCAACAACCACCACCACCACCACCCCCCCCTCCCCCCCCACCGTCCCACCGTCCCACCGTCCCACCGTGCCGTCCACTACCGCGTCAACACACTCGCCCGTACTCATCTATACCGCTACTCTTTACCACTACCTCCACATTTACCTATACCACCACCTCTGCCGCCTCTTATGCTCCTCACTACCATCTCACGCCAAAAGACCAATCACTTGACTGCTTAAATCGATTATTAACAAGTTGAATACCCTACTATTTTCATAAATCAATTGCTCCTTCGCATGAAATTTTCTCAACAATATTTATCATCTTGGCAATTTTTTTTTTCTTCCATTTTTTCATTAGAACGACAATATCGGACAATCTTTAACAAGATATCTGTCTCGTGTCAAACGTCATTTTATCATTCCAATAGTAGGTAATACAATATTACTCTGCTTACTCAAGCAAATTAATACCAAAACCAATAATTACAATTGCATTCATAAATACAGCAGTGAATAATTTAAATGTGCGCAATTTGAAAATGAAACGTCTCACATATTTCTTTAATACGCCTCTGACAATTAAACGAACTTAAATAGAAATTTATTCGGAATGAATTTTATAATATCAAAAAACAAAATTAAAAAAAAATTAAGACGCTTATCGTTCATTATAAATAAAAAATATTGTATTAAGTGAATCTGTATTTCAATCAAGACTGTTAAATCATTGCTTAATTATTAAATTAATTGTTAAAGATTGCTGAAAACATATTTGCCATGCGAATGTATAAAAAAGCACTTGAAATACAAATGGTTTCAAAATATTAATATATTATTACATTGCAATAAGAAAAATTACTACTTAAACCGTTTCCGCATATATATATATATATATATATATATATATATATATATATTAAAATTTTTAAAAAAAATTATATTTTAAATTAACCATTAAAATATTGAAATTGAAATCGTAATTCCCGTATAGATTAACATTAATTTAAAATCGAAACAATTATTAATATTCATTCCATTTATGCGACCGACTAACTTCATATATTCCACGTGATATAGTAATTCTCCATCAAATTCTCACTAATGATATCTCATTAAATATATTACTTGTATATAAAATGATTCAGAAATATTTTATTTTTCCTTACTTTTACCTCAACTCTTTCGACTTCTCCTTTCGTATACATAACTATCCTTATTACCATGACTGCATCCCCCTCTCTCTTTCTCTCGTTCTCTCTCTCTCTCTCTCTCTCTCTCTCTCTCTCTCTCCCTCTCTCTCTCTCTCTCACACACACACACACACACACACTCAGTCGCTATCTCTCTCAATCGCTATCTTTCTCGAATTTCTTTAGGATGCTTTACTTGATCTTTCGAAAATACGAAAGAATGGTTGAGAGAAGGGTCGGGGGAGGAGAGAGAGAGAGAGACGGAAGGAAAAAATGTAAAAAAATACATGTGATTTTTGTAGAAATTTTTCAAATTTACATCATGTATTAAATAACATAAATTTGAAAAAGATAACTTTTAAGTATTTGAATATGCAAATTTTATAGTAGCTTTCACTTGAAGAAATTTTGATAACTAACAAATTTAATAATCTGTTATAACATTTCCGTATTCCTTAAAGAAAAGTAGTTTGTTTTATAAAATACACAATAATTTATATATTTAATATAATAAAAGAATTTATTTTTACATATATATATATATATATATATATATATATATATAATGAAAATTATCATTAATCTTTTATGTTTTCAGATGTTTATGTTTATCCTACCAAAATTAGTTAATATTATCGC